GTGTCGACTCAACAGCCAGGAGAAGCTGGGCCTGACGTTGTGCTACAGGACAGATGAGGAGGAGGACATGGCCATCTACGTCAGCGAGGTGAGACTAGGGCAGAACTGGGACTAAGCCTTCTTCTTCTTCTTGTTCTTCTTCTTGTTCTTCTTCTTGTTCTTGTTCTTGTTCTTCTTCTTCTTGTTCTTGTTCTTCTTCTTCTTGTTCTTCTTCTTCTTCTTGTTCTTCTTCTTCTTCTTGTTCTTCTTCTTCTTCTTCTTCTTCTTCTTCTTCTTCTGACGTTAGGGAACCCTACTACAACCACTGTGTGGCTCAAAGTAAACATGATAGTGATATACCTATGAAAAATAGACAATACTAGACTTTCATGAGTTGTGACATCTAATATGATTCCTCTGTGTCTTCTGAGACAGAGCTTACTTTAATATTCATGCTGGGAATGTAAATACATGGCTCTTTTTGGTGTAATCACTTAAAGATTGAACCAATTTATTTAAGAAAGAATGAGAAATATTCAATATTTGGAGAGTCGTTAAATTAATTTGATTACACTGACTAAAAAGACATCAATCGCTCTGTGGAACTTAATCACTTCTCATAGCAATAATGTAGATGAAAACAGCTAATATAAAAGTATTCATCTTTCTTGGAGTGTACTTCCTTGTTCTTCAAATAGAACTGACATGTTGAGGCTACACGTTCTATGCCCACAGTCAAGGCTTTTTCTCTCTCTTAACCCACTTGTTGGCAGCACGTACAAAGCACTATCCTCCTCTCCTCCATTCTGCCCAACTCTCTCTCCGTCTCTCCTTATCCTCCGTTCTCTCTCTATTCCTCTCTCCCATCGTCCCTCTCTCTCCTCTCTGTCTCCATCTCGCTCCTCTCTCTATCTCGCTCTCTCTCTCAATATCTTTATCTCTATCTCTTCTCTTCACATCAGTCTCTTCTCCATTCTAAATCTAAGTTCATCTCTCTACATCGCATCTCATCTCCTCTCTATCTCTCTCTTCATCATCCGGATCTCTCTTCTCTTGTCTAGTCTCTCTTCTCTCTCTTTCTCTCTCTCTCCTCTCTTTCTCTTCTCTCTCCTTCTCCTCTTGCTCATCTCTCTCTCCTCTACCTCTCCATATCTCCTCTCTCTCTCCTCCCATCTCTCTCTCTCTCTTGCTCTGTCTCTCTCTCTCTCTTGCTCTGTCTCTCTCTCTCTCGCTCTGTCTCTCTCTCTCTCTTGCTCTGTCTCTCTCTCTCTCCCTCTCTCTCTGTCTCTCTCTCTCTCTCTGTCTCTCTCTCTCTTGCTCTGTCTCTCTCTCTCTTGCTCTGTCTCTCTCTTGCTCTGTCTCTCTCTCTCTCGCTCTCTCTCTCTCTCTCGCTCTGTCTCTCTCTCGCTCTGTCTCTCTCTCGCTCTGTCTCTCTTGCTCTGTCTCTCTCTCTCCCTCTCCCTCTCCATCTCCGTCTCTGTCGCTCTGTCTCCGTCTCTCTCTCTCTCTCACTCTCTCATTTTAAGTTAGCTCAGACCTGCAAGGTATTTGCTCCGGAACATGAGCTGAATACAGATCGCAGTAGTCTGTGGTTACTGGCTGCTCTCCTCTCGTGTGTTCAGTCTATAAAAAGTCAAGCCAAGGAGAACGTGCTGCATTCAGAAGAGCCCCTACTGAATGTCAGTATTTATTTAAACTGGGTTTGAGATAGTGGATGGTGTGCCCTGTGTGATGTATTTGTATTTGAATTTATTATGGATCCCCATTAGCTGCTGCCAATGCAGCAGCTACTCTTCCTGGGGTCCAGCAAAATTCATAACAGATTTCACAACATATTAAGTGTGTGCCCTCAGGCCTCTACTCTACTACCACATATCTACAACAAAAAATCCATGTGTGTATAGTGCATATGCTATCGTGTGTTTGTATGCATGTGTCTATGTTTGTGTTGCTTCACTGTCCCCGCTGTTCCATAAGGTGTATTTTTATCAGTTTTTTAAATCTAATTTTACTGCTGGCATGAGTTACTTGATGTGGAATAGAGTTCCATGTAGTCATGGCTCTATGTAATACTGTACGCCTCCCATAGTCTGTTATTGACTTGAGGACTGTGAAGAGACCTCTGGTGGCATGTCTTGTGGGGTATGCATGGGTGTTCAAACAGACAGCTTGGTTCATTCAACATATCAATACCTCTCACAAATACAAGTAGTGATGAAGTTAATCTCTCCTCCACTTTGAGCCAGGAGAGATTGACATGCATATTATTAATGTTAGCTCTCTGTGTACAACCAAGGACCAGCCGTGCTGCCCTGTTCTGAGCCAATTGTAATTTTCCTAAGTCCCTCTTTGTGGTACCTGACCACACGACTGAACAGTAGTTCAGGTGCGACAAAACTAGGGCCTGTAGGACCTGCCTTGTTGATAGTGCTGCTAAGAATGCAGAGCAGTGCTTTATTATAGACCGACTTCTCCCCATCCTAGCTACTGTTGTATCAATATGTTTTGAACATGACAGTTTACAATCCAGGGTTACTCCAAGCAATTTAGTCTCCTCAACTTGCTCAATTTCCACATTATTCATTACAATATTTAGTTGAGGTTTAGGGTTTAGTAAATTATTTGTCCAAAATATAATGCTTTTAGTTTTTGAAATATTTAGGACTAACTTATTCCTTGCCACCCATTCTAAAACTAACTGCAGCTCTTTGTTAAGAGCTCTTTGTTGCTGTCATTTCAGTCGCTGTGGTAGCTGACGTGTATAGTGTTGAGCAAACATTGTGAAATCACACCCTGATCTCACATTAATATAGATAAATTATACAATGTCATGCACACTATTTTGCAAGTCACCAGACGTACTAAGGACCTTGAATGTCATCCTTAGTGTAGTATGACTTTGCTTAGTATATTATTTGAGAAGCAGCTATGCAGTGTTTATGAAGACTTTATGAATGCTCTATAAAGCCTTTATACATTGTAGTTCATTTAACGTGGGACCAATATCGGTTATCAGGAACATTATAAAACAATAATGACAACTCAAATTGCTTTTCTTATGTAACAGAGTTACACAGCTAGCTTGAAATGTCCCCCATGGAGCTATCAAATTAAATATTTTTCTGTAGCTCAAATGGTTGGTACGTTGTCAAGGAGGGTGGTCACGTGTGTTGCTGGCAGAGGATCACTAGTTCGAGCCCGGTATGGGGACAGGGACAGTGAAGGAAGCTATACTGTTAGCAGCACACTGACGTCCGTTTTATTAGATCAACACGTTCTAATAAACCTGCAGTTCCGTATACTACACTCTATCCCTATATATTTGCCTATAGATTTGTTTCATTATGCAAACATTACATGCATTGCAACCCCCTCAGGCGAAAAACAAGCCAGCCTTTCATAAGAGTTAAGCTGGAGTTACACAAAGCAACTTTCACGCAACTTTGGTTACTTGCAACTGAGTTGCTTCTTGATTGCTTAGTGAAACACCCCCCTGCAACTAATAAGCAACTCATCTGCAACTTGGTTGCATCCAGTTGCAACTTTTAAACTTTGTGCAGCTAATTGCAAGCAACAGCCAATCAAAACAAATACTTTTGTCACATGATCTATTCAAAGGTTCGGAATTCCGACCCAGTTATCATGTCAACACAGCTGGCACACTCAGTGCTGTGCAACCCGTGATCAGGGTTGACATAAGAGATATTAGCACAACGGTAAATTTATAAACATTATTGGCATCATGGCTAGGCAGTCAATAAATGTAATTTTCGAAGTGAAGCTTTCCATACGCTCTTATCCAGAGCAATTAGGGTTAAGTGCCTTGCTCAAGGGCACATCGACAGATTTTTCACCTAGTCGGCTCAGGGATTAGAACCAGCGACCTTTCAGTTACTGGCACAATGCTCTTAACCACTAAGCTACCTGTCGCCCTGACCAGTTTCAACTGAAATTGTCCACCATGAACTGTGCTAGCTAGTTTAATTCGTTGCTAGCTTTGTTATCTCGTTGCTAGCTAGCTAGCTGTGTTGGTGTTTGCAATGTCATTTTGGCTAGCTAGCTAAATTGTACAGGCTGCATTTTGTCAATATCCATGCTGTTACAATAACCAAATGGTTGGATAAACACAATTAGTGAAACCACGATGTAATGCAGCAGATGACATGGATGAGTTTAGAATTCTCAAACAATATGACAGAAGCAGCTTCAATTTGATTGGCTGTTGCATGCAATTTTTGTTACATGAGTTGCTTCATGTAACAGCAAAGTTGCAACTGCAACTAAAATTGCGTGAAAGTTGCTTTGTGTAACTCCAACCTTAGGGTCCTAGGAATCACTGCTGGTGTTCTGACAGTGGATGAATCTCGGATCCGCTCTCCTCACCCTCCTTCTAAAAATGCCAGTAGGTACACAAGGAATCGAGGAATATACTTTTGAGATTCACTCTGTGTGTCAGGCAATTGCCAGAGCTGAGACCAGAGTCCCTCTTCAGCCCATTGACCTCAGAGTAGCCCTTCTAATGAGCGGTCCTTTGTGACTGACCAGACATGCACGCACACACGCACCAGACGCATCATGAAAATGGTACACTAAGGCTGGCCCAGCCATCTCAGGAGATCCCGCCTGATTGGACAGAGTGAAACAAATGGCCCCAGACAGCAGAGTTGAAAGAGTGGCCTGCCCCTTCGTTCAGTATCATTAGAACACAGAATCATGAGAAGGAAGAGTCATGGATGGGCTGTGTAGGGAAGGCTGTGTAGGGAAGGCAGAGTCATGGATGGGCTGTGTAGGGAAGGCTGTGTAGGGAAGGCAGAGTCATGGATGGGCTGTGTAAGGAAGGCAGAGTCGTGGATGGGCTGTGTAGGGAAGGCAGTCATGGATGGGCTGTGTAGGGAAGGCTGTGTAAGGAAGGCAGAGTCATGGATGGGCTGTGTAAGGAAGGCAGAGTCGTGGATGGGCTGTGTAGGGAAGGCAGTCATGGATGGGCTGTGTAGGGAAGGCTGTGTAAGGAAGGCAGTGTCATGGATGGGCTGTGTAGGGAAGGCTGTGTAGGGAAGGCAGAGTCATGGATGGGCTGTGTAAGGAAGACAGAGTCGTGGATGGGCTGTGTAGGGAAGGCAGTCATGGATGGGCTGTGTAGGGAAGGCTGTGTAAGGAAGGCAGAGTCATGGATGGGCTGTGTAGGGAAGGCTGTGTAAGGAAGGCAGAGTCATGGAAAGGCTGTGTAGGGAAGGCAGAGTCATGGATGGGCTGTGTAGGGAAGGCAGGGCCTGTAATAAGGAAGTCCTTGACAGGAAGACAGATCACAAACATCGTAACGAAGCAAACACACATCAAGGAGTCCTGTGTAGGGAAGGCAATTATGGATTGGCTGCATGTGGCAGGTAGACCGCATTTACGACAGAAGTAAAGTGGCCTTGATACCTGGACTGGACCTGGACAGATGCTATATCAAATTCTAACAGCTACGGTCTTTCTCTGGCACCAGTGGCTTCAACCAATCAACATTTGGTGGTGAAAGAGATCCTTTGTCTGGACGTAATGTCTTACAGTAGATGGTACTGCAGACCTACAGAGGTGTTCTAGAATTATATTGGGGACTAAATTATTATTGGATATCATAAGAATTTTAGACAATGCTTTTATAAGTCAGTGGTCTCTGTAAAGGTGTATAAGTATTTTCAGAAGGTTACATATTTTGTGTATGGGATGCGGTGTTAAGGCTTTTTGGCAAACCTCCAAAAGGCAATTTGGTGTTCCCTCTGAGCATTGAATCTAACAATCTCTCCCCAACAGGTTGGGCCAAACAGCATCGCTGCAAGGGACGGACGCATCAGAGAAGGAGACCGCATTTTACAGGTAGGAAACCATTTATTTCTATATTTTCCTCTCAGACCCTCTTCTCTCCCACCTCTCTCTCTCTCTCTCTCTCTCTCTCTATCCTCCTCTCATCTCTCTCTCTCTCCTCCTCTCATCTCTCTCTCTCCCTCTCATCTCTCTCTCATTTTTCTCTCACTTTCTCTCCTCTCCTCCCTCATCAGAGGTGACATAAACCTATTTTTATTCCACCTCCCTCTGCCATTGACTCCCAGCACGAGAACCCATTCATTTTTAATGGCGGCACATTAAAATAGAAACCCACCCCCTCTGTGACGGTTAGCGATGAGGAAATGTCCCCCTGGCTGTTTTAGTTACCGACTCAGCATCCGACTGTGCTTTCTAAGAGCTGTAAGAGCAGTTTAGGGATGCACCTAGTCCGGAAATACGCTCTGGGTAACACGCCCGCGCCAACACACATTCAGGCACGCACACACACGCACATACATTTACATTTTACATTTTAGTCATTTAGCAGACGCTCTTATCCAGAGCGACTTACAGGAGCAATTAGGGTTAAGTGCCTTGCTCAAGGGCACATTTACGTCATTTAGCAGACGCTCTTATCCAGAGCGACTTACAAATTGGTGCGTTCACCCTATAGCCAGTGGGATAACCACTTTACAATTTTTTTTTATTTTTTTTTATTTTTTTTTTCTTTGGGGGGGGGGGGGGGGGGGTAGAAGGATTAATTTATCCTATCCCAGGTATTCCTTAAAGAGGTGGGGTTTCAAATGTCTCCGGAAGGTGGTGAGTGACTCCGCTGTCCTGGCGTCGTGAGGGAGCTTGTTCCACCATTGGGGTGCCAGAGCAGCGAACAGTTTTGACTGGGCTGAGCGGGAACTATGCTTCCGCAGAGGAAGGGGAGCCAGCAGGCCAGAGGTGGATGAACGCAATGCCCTCGTTTGGGTGTAGGGACTGATCAGAGCCTGAAGGTACGGAGGTGCTGTTCCCCTCACTGCTCCATAGGCAAGCACCATGGTCTTGTAACGGATGCGAGCTTCAACTGGAAGCCAGTGGAGTGTGCGGAGGAGGGGGGTGACGTGAGAGAACTTGGGAAGGTTGAACACCAGACGGGCTGCGGCATTCTGGATGAGTTGTAGGGGTTTAATGGCACAGGCAGGGAGGCCAGCCAACAGCGAGTTGCAGTAATCCAGACGGGAGATGACAAGTGCCTGGATTAGGACCTGTGCCGCTTCCTGTGTAAGGCAGGGTCGTACTCTCCGAATGTTGTAGAGCATGAACCTGCAGGATCGGGTCACCGCCTTGATGTTAACGGAGAACGACAGGGTGTTGTCCAGGGTCACGCCAAGGCTCTTCGCACTCTGGGAGGAGGACACAACGGAGTTGTCAACCGTGATGGCGAGATCATGGAACGGGCAGTCCTTCCCCGGGAGGAAGAGCAGCTCCGTCTTGCCACGGTTCAGCTTGAGGTGGTGATCCGTCATCCATACTGATATGTCTGCCAGACATGCAGAGATGCGATTCGCCACCTGGTTATCAGAAGGGGGAAAGGAGAAGATTAGTTGTGTATCGTCAGCGTAGCAATGATAGGAGAGGCCATGTGAGGATATGACAGAGCCAAGTGACTTGGTGTATAGGGAGAATAGGAGAGGGCCTAGAACTGAGCCCTGGGGGACACCAGTGGTGAGAGCACGTGGTGCGGAGACAGCTTCTCGCCACGCCACTTGGTAGGAGCGACCGGTCAGGTAGGACGCAATCCAGGAGTGAGCCGCGCCGGAGATGCCCAGCTCGGAGAGGGTGGAGAGGAGGATCTGATGGTTCACAGTATCAAAGGCAGCAGACAGGTCTAGAAGGACAAGAGCACATGTTATTACCCTTAGTTCCATCCCTGGGTCAGGGAACCCTGGAGGCTACTAGTACCCTCCTAGGAGAGTCTTCTGGTGGGTTGGTACCCTCCTAGGAGAGTTTTCTGGTGGGTTGGTTAGAGTTAGTGGAGCTGGCCTCTATTCTAAAGTGCAGGGCAAGTTGTGTACAGGGAAAAGGGGGATGTTTTAAGGTGTAATATACAGAATTGAGGTTGGTGTTTTGGGAGGTAGGAATAGAGTTAGGTCATATACAGTGGGGAGAACAAGTATTTGATACACTGCCGATTTTGCAGGTTTTCCTACTTACATAGCATGTAGAGCTCTGTAATATTTATCATAGGTACACTTCAACTGTGAGAGATGGAATCTAAAACAAAAATCCAGAAAATCACATTGTATGATTTTTAAGTAATTCATTTGCATTTTATTGCATGACATAAGTATTTGATCACCTACCAACCAGTAAGAATTCCGTCTCTCACAGACCTGTTCGTTTTTCTCTAAGAAGCCCTCCTGTTCTCCACTCATTAGCTGTATTAACTGCACCTGTTTGAACTCGTTACCTGTATAAAAGACACCTGTCCACACACTCAATCAAACAGACTCCAACCTCTCCACAATGGCCAAGACCAGAGAGCTGTGTAAGGACATCAGGGATAAGATTGTAGACCTGCACAAGGCTGGGATGGGCTACAGGACAATAGGCAAGCAGCTTGGTGAGAAGGCAACAACTGTTGGCGCAATTATTAGAAAATGGAAGAAGTTCAAGATGACGGTCAATCACCCTCGGTCTGGGGCTCCATGCAAGATCTCACCTCGTGGGGCATCAATGATCATGAGGAAGGTGAGGGATCAGCCCAGAACTACACGGCAGGACCTGGTCAATGACCTGAAGAGAGCTGGGACCACAGTCTCAAAGAAAACCATTAGTAACACACTACGCCGTCATGGATTAAAATCCTGCAGCGCACGCAAGGTCCCCCTGCTCAAGCCAGCGCATGTCCAGGCCTGTCTGAAGTTTGCCAATGACCATCTGGATGATCCAGAGGAGGAATGGGAGAAGGTCATGTGGTCTAATGAGACAAAAATATAGCTTTTTGGTCTAAACTCCACTCGCCGTGTTTGGAGGAAGAAGAAGGATGAGTACAACACCAAGAACACCATCCCAACCGTGTAGCATGGAGGTGGAAACATCATTCTTTGGGGATGCTTTTCTGCAAAGGGGACAAGATGACTGCACCGTATTGAGGGGAGGATGGATGGGGCCATGTATCGCGAGATCTTGGCCAACAACCTCCTTCCCTCAGTAAGAGCATTGAAGATGGGTCATGGCTGGGTCTTCCAGCATGACAACGACCTGAAACACAAAGCCAGGGCAACTAAGGAGTGGCTCTGTAAGAAGCATCTCAAGGTCCTGGAGTGGCCTAGCTAGTCTTCAGACCTGAACCCAATAGAACATCTTTGAAGGGAGCTGAAAGTCTGTATTGCCCAGCGACAGCCCCGAAACCTGAAGGATCTGGAGAAGGTCTGTATGGAGGAGTGTGCCAAAATCCCTGCTGCAGTGTGTGCAAACCTGGTCAAGACCTACAGGAAACGTATGATCTCTGTAATTGCAAACAAAGGTTTCTGTACCAAATATTAAGTTCTGCTTTTCTGATGTATCAAATACTTATGTCATGCAATAAAATGCAAATTAATTACTTAAAAATCATACAATGTGATTTTCAGGATTTTTGTTTTAGATTCCGTCTCTCACAGTTGAAGTGTACCTATGATAAAAATTACAGAGCTCTACATGCTATGTAAGTAGGAAAACCTGCAAAATCGGCAGTGTATCAAATACTTGTTCTCCCCACTGTATTTGGAGGGAGAGGCAGATTGACGGCTCCTTGTTTTGGGAAGTAGGTATAAACAGTGTGCTTTAGACAGAGCAGTAATGGTTTTGGGAGGCAGAAGCTTGCTACAGTAAAGTGAGTGAGAGTGCTGTAGAGAGGAGAAATGCTTTTGGAGATAAGGGCAGAGGTAGACGGTAATGTTTTTCAGAGAGTGGTCTGTTTTCAGTTAGAGTGTGCTCTCTGAACAACAGAGTGATGTGTTTCTGAATAGGGGTTAATGAGTGGGAGAAGAGAGAGAGAGAGAGAGAGAGAGGTGGGTACACAGTGCAGTAATTAAAGGAAGAGGATTGAGGAAGGGTATAGGGTAAGCAGTGAGACATACGACCGGCGCTTGCTGCTTCCCTAATTATCTGCTACATGGTGTGTGTTGACCGTGTGTCTTCTGTGCAGTGTGTTGTGTGACTGGTTTGAGTTGCGAGGCAAAGCGAGGGGTTTGGGTTAGTGGTTGTGATCTAGGCCTCCACCCCCACCCCTCCACTATTATCCCCCGCCGACAGGGCCATTACTCTGGGCAGAGGAAAGCGGACATCCCTGTAACGGCCCAGTTAATTGTGTGGGGCGTCTGGATCTATGAATGTGCGTTGCTTCCGGGTGCTGGATGCTTTCAGGAGCAGAGCCGTTCTAGTGCAGACGGTCCCTCCATGGACTACTGTTCCATTCATAATCAATCAAGCCTTGGTCCTGTCTGTCTGGCTGGCCTGCAATGGAATACGGAGTAGACACAGACTGCAGATGCACAGGAAATACTGTCTTGTTGTGCAGTACCTTTAGCTTTATGCCAACCTGGCTGGCTCTTTCTACGGTGTTTGAGTGAGATTAAAGAGGGAAAGTGGCCCTTCCCTTAGTGTGTGTGTGTGTGTGTGTGTGTGTGAATAACAGTGTATGTTGTGTTTTCCCCAGATCAATGGTCAGGATGTGCAGGACAGAGAGGAGGCTGTAGCGGTGCTGTCTAGTGACGATACTAGGAACATCGTACTGCTGGTCGCCAGGCCCGAGATTCAGGTGAGCTTGCACGCACACGCACACACACACACATACACACATACACACACACACACACACACACATACATACACACACACACACACACACACACAGAGATATACAGTATAGTAGGAACATTGTGTTGCTGGTCACCAGACCAGAAATACAGGTGAGTTTACAAGCAGTTTTACCCCAATATAAATTTTCTTACCTCAATCGAAGTTCTTTAAACTATCCCTTTAACACACCCATACGGTAAACACAGATAGGTATGTCTATACTGTAGGTCCATAGGACCAATACATCAGTCATTAGAGGTATTTTTATTCATGACATCCTGCGTTATACACAACAGCCGAAACACTACCCGAAGGCTGTAAATATACCACTTGTGTTTCTTAGATGAAACACTGCAGGGCTGTTACATGCTCATGTACAGACTGTTGACACCACCTCACATCATGTTTTATTTAATTGACTTCCAACGGTACGCCATAAAAACTAATGGCATGCTAATGGTTCAGGCCCAAGGCCATGGTGAATGGTGTGTGTGTGTCTGTGTTAGGGGTGTGAACTATTTAAACGAAATTGGGATCCTTAAAGTTAAGAAAAATCCCTAACCGAAAAACAATGTTATTTTTTTCATTGTTTTTTTCGTAGATGCAGAAAGTAAACAGCATTGTGGGTCAATTTCCGCAACAACTAAGAGCATTGAAGTGCGAGGCTCAACTTCTCCGCTGTTTTGGTGTCCTGGCTACCATGCTGTGAACAGCGTGAAGCGAACCCGTGCACATGTGCAGATATGTGTGTGACTGTGTGAGAGCGAAGGGTTACATCTCGCTCATCTCAATATCCTAGCCCAATGGTCACAAACCTTTTCTGAGTCAAGTACACTTTCTGAGTCAAAATGCAAGTCCAATATGACCTAAAAAATGTAAGCCTATGCAACATTAACCAATTAAAAACAGTTCTGTAGCAATGAGGTCTGTGCAGTAGGCTGTAGGCCCAATACATTTCAATGTTCTTCTTCTCAGACCATTTTGAAATTGAACTTCCTCATTAAAAACAGCAGCTCTTTGCTGTATTCGTTGAGTCTCTCTCTAGTCATGGTTTTTACAGTTTTGAAATCTGACAGTATCAACTTTCGAGGCTTCTTTTTACAGTCTATGGCTCAAAGAAACTGTGCAGACACGGTGATCTGAGCTATCTGATTGGCCAATGGTCGGCCAATAGTTGCACTTGATTTGCTCTCTGGGCCTGCCGGGTATGCAGAGTTCTACCTTCAGATATGTGAAATGGTTCAAAATGGGAACACTTTGCCTTCCCTGCGCTAGGGCTGCTAAATCAAGTGCACCTACAGCCAACTGTGTGAAAAATAAAATAGGGATGCAAGGCTTTATATTTGGGGTTTTTACATACATTTTTGGTAATCGACTAGGAATACCTTGGATATTGACCATTTGGTGACCACTGTCCTAGCCTATTCATTGATGGTAAGGACCTGCTTTGCTGAAGTTGCGAGACATTGCAAGCCAAGAAATTGCAAGATACATTATTCCATTGCGAGATACAGCTTTTGATTGCGATAGATATGCCTAGGTTCTGACTGTCTGCCTGATGGCCGACCTACCTATACTGTGCCCCTACCATCTCTCTCCGTCCCTCGCGAGCTTGCTATGAAATGCTCTCCTCCATTCCAAAAATACTGAATCTTAGGAGTCGATTCCTAGGGGAATCAAATCTTGACACTCAGAAATGGGAGTTGACACCGGGAGTCGACGTGCAAGGAGTCGAGGAATCAATTATTTTGGAGTCGACTCTCCACCACTACTTCATCGTCGTGGAAAAATGGCAGAGAAAGGTAAGCGACAGCAGCGAAGTCCTGTATGGCAATTCTTTGAGAAGTTTAAACGAGAAGGGAATCCAAACTTTGCGAGGTGGAATTGAACTACAGTAATGGTAGTACAGGTGCAATGCTTAACCATCTGAAAGGGACGCACCTTCAGACCCAAACCGTTGCTGGCAGCAGCGCAGCTGCATTGTGAATTAACGTGGAATTTTATACATTTTTCTTTTTGTTTTAATGGAAAATCCACACAAAAATGTCAGTTTAAATGTTAAGAAAATGTTTCCATTCATCACATCCCTAGTGTGTGTGTGTGCGCACCACTGAGAACGGCAGATGAGCCATGAGCCATAATGGACTCTCTTCCTTCCCCTTTTGGTAATTAAATAAGTCTCTCACAGTCTAAAGTCCTGGCTTCAATATATCTCCCATTTAGTTTGACACAAGCAGACATAAAGATCATGAAGGACACTGAGGCCACAACAAGCTGGCAAATCAAGAGCCACAACAAGCTGGCAAATCAAGAGCCACAACAAGCTGGCCATTCAAGAACCACAACAAGCTAGCCATTCAAGAACCACAACAATCTGGCCATTCAAGAGCCACAACAAGCTGGCCATTCAAGAGGCACAACAAAACACACCTCATGAATATCTTGCTTTATGAAACTGTTGATAGATCATGTATGAAGGTCATGAAGCCTGACCACTATTATGTATGTATTGACTATATCTGTATGTTTGGTCAGGCTTCATGCACTTCATACATTACAGGATGGATGTTAATGATCTATCAACAGCTTCATAAAGCAAGATATTCATGAGGTGTGTCTTGTGGCTCTTGAATGACCAGCTAGATGGTGTAAGGGTTTCTCATGTTCTGGTTTAAATCCTCTCTCTCCCTCTCTCTCTCTCTCTTGTTATCTAGCTGGAGGAAGCGTGGTTGGATGATGAACACAGTGAGTTCCTGGAGCAACTGAAGATGGAGATGTTGGAAGAGCAACAGAGAGAAGAGATGGAGCTGGATGCACTTCAGGAGGAACAGGAGAAGGTGAGACCACACTACCGCAGGGACATGCAAAAGAGTTTATCACAATAAGTTTGACACTCTCCCACACATACAGTGGGGAGAACAAGTATTTGATACACTGCCGATTTTGCAGGTTTTCCTACTTACAAAGCATGTAGAGGTCTGTACTTTTTATCATAGGTACACTTCAACTGTGAGAGACAGAATCTAAAACAAAAATCCAGAAAATCACATTGTATGATTTTTAAGTAATTCATTTGCATTTTATTGCATGACATAAGTATTTGATCACCTACCAATCAGTAAGAATTCCGGCTCTCACAGGCCTGTTAGTTTTTCTTTAAGAAGCCCTCCTGTTCTCCACTCATTACCTGTATTAACTGCACCTGTTTGAACTCGTTACCTGTATAAAAGACACCTGTCCACACACTCAATCAAACAGACTCCAACCTCTCCACAATGGCCAAGACCAGAGAGCTGTGTAAGGACATCAGGGATAAAATTGTAGACCTGCACAAGGCTGGGATGGGCTACAGGACAATAGGCAAGCAGCTTGGTGAGAAGGCAACAACTGTTGGCGCAATTATTAGAAAATGGAAGAAGTTCAAGATGACGGTCAATCACCCTCGGTCTGGGGCTCCATGCAAGATCTCACCTCGTGGGGCATTAATGATCATGAGGAAGGTGAGGGATCAGCCCAGAACTACACGGCAGGACCTGGTCAATGACCTGAAGAGAGCTGGGACCACAGTCTCAAAGAAAACCATTAGTAACACACTACGCCGTCATGGATTAAAATCCTGCAGCGCACGCAAGGTCCCCCTGCTCAAGCCAGCGCATGTCCAGGCCCGTCTGAAGTTTGCCAATGTCCATCTGGATGATCCAGAGGAGGAATGGGAGAAGGTCATGTGGTCTGATGAGACAAAAATTTAGCTTTTTGGTCTAAACTCCACTCGCCGTGTTTGGAGGAAGAAGAAGGATGAGTACAACCCCAAGAACACCATCCCAACCGTGGAGCATGGAGGTGGAAATATCATTATTTGGGGATGCTTTTCTGCAAAGGGGACAGGACGACGGCACCGTATTGAGGGGAGGATGGATGGGGCTATGTATCGCGAGATCTTGGCCAACAACCTCCTTCCCTCAGTAAGAGCATTGAAGATGGGTCGTGGCTGGGTCTTCCAGCATGACAACGACCCGAAAACACACAGCCAGGGCAACTAAGGAGTGGCTCCATAAGAAGCATCTCAAGGTCCTGGAGTGGCCTAGCCAGTCTCCAGACCTGAACCCAATAGAAAATCTTTGGAAGGAGCTGAAAGTCCGTATTGCCCAGCGACAGCCCCAAAACCTGAAGGATCTGGAGAAGGTCTGTATGGAGGAGTGGGCCAAAATCCCTGCTGCAGTGTGTGCAAACCTGGTCAAGACCTACAGGAAACGTATGATCTCGGTAATTGCAAACAAAGGTTTCTGTACCAAATATTAAGTTCTGCTTTTCTGATGTATCAAATACTTATGTCATGCAATAAAATGCAAATTAATTACTTAAAAATCATACAATGTGATTTTCTGGATTTTTGTTTTAGATTCCGTCTCTCACAGTTGAAGTGTACCTATGATAAAAATTACAGACCTCTACATGCTTTGTAAGTAGGAAAACCTGCAAAATCGGCAGTGTATCAAATACTTGTTGTCCCCACTATAGCACATTACCTGTGAAGCATGTGAAACTAGACAACTGCTCACCACCAGAGCGACACACCAAGGAGTTTATCTACTGTAGAAATTAGTTTAGGGTCTCTATGGTCTACCCTCAGATTATTTGAAAAACTTGTGAAAATATGTAATACCCTTGGAAATATGAGTCTGAAATAGCAACAACTGTATGAATATGGAAGAGGGTGAAGAGCATTTTATACCCCAAACATTGGTAATCATAATTTAAAATATTGTGTTTTGTTGAGAGATTAGCATACTGTAAATGGGTAGATATGGAAGTTCAAAGACTGCAAAGCTATTGGGGAAGTAACAACGATTCCCAGCGAAGCAGTGTAGTGGTACAGAACTCCACAAGAATGGAGGGAATCCCAGTGGAGAACCCAAAGCACTGACTTAGAAGTTCAGAACTATTTCAGACTAGACATTTCAGAAAATACACTGAATAAAAATATAAACGCAACATGTAAAGTGTTGGTCCAATGTTTCATGAGCTGAAATACAAAATCCCAGAAATGTTCCATACGCACAAAAAGCTTATTTCTCTCAACATCCCTGTTAGTGAGCATGTCTTCTTTGTCAAGATAATCCATCCAACTGACAGGTGTGGCATATCAAGAAGCTGATTAAACAGCATGATCATTACACAGGTGCACCTTGTGCTGAGGACAATAAAAGGCCACTCTAAAATGTGCAGTTTGTCACATGATACAAAGCCACAGATGTCTCAAGTTTTGAGGGAGCGTGCAATTGGCATGCTGACTGCAGGAATGTCCACCAGAGTTGTTGCCAGAGAATTGAATGTTCATTTCTCTACTATAAGCCACCTACAACATCTTTTTAGAGAATTTGGCAGTACGTCCAACCGGCCTCACAATGTCAGACCACATGTAACCGCGTCGGCCCAGGACCTCCACATCTAGCTTCTTCACCTGCAGGACCGTCTGAGGGGGGGGTGTGGGGGAGTGCTGAGGAGTATTTCTGTCTGTAATAAAGCCCTTTTGTGGTGAAAAACTCAGTCTGATTGGCTGCACCCTTGCCCAGTCATGTGAAATCCATAGATTAGGGCCTAATTTATTTATTTGAATTGACTGATTTCCTTATATGAACTGTAACTCAGTAAAATCTTTGATATTGTTGCATGTTGTTATATTTTTGTTCAGTATAGTTATGAATATTATTCAAGATTTGTACCTATTTCTTTACATTGCGGGTTATTTCCATACTGATGATATACATTTTTCTTTATTACAGCCCAGAGGAGAAGAGGATGACATCACTGCCACCTGTTCCTCCAGAACTCAGGACAAGGACAGCGGGCTGGGGATGTCGTTAAGGAACGGCATCGACGCCCCCGACCACAACGCCCTCCTAACTCACATCAACGGAGACTCTCCCAGTGTCTGAGGGACAGACAGGACTGTCCCGAGCGTCTGGACGAAGAGGAACAAGAAGAGGAGGATGTTGCGGAGGATGGCGATCGGTTCCAGCAGCTCCTGGAGCTGAAGTGTCAGATCCATAACAGCGGGGAGTATGACCTGATCTATAGCAGACGCAGCACTATAGAGTGTAGTCTGGGAGAGCCGGCCGGTGGTGTGCAGCGTGAGCTCCGCATGCTCAATGACGAGCTCCGCAGCATCGAGCTAGAGTGCCAGAACATCATGCAGGCACACAAGCTCCGCAAGGGGCCGGGGGGGTCCCAGTGGGACCAGGGGCAGCAAGTGTTTCCCCAAATTGTCTGCTCCACGCCCAAGGACCAAAGCTCCTGCCTGGGGAGCAATGACTCGCCTAGTAGAAGCAAGCTGGTGGACATCAATGACTGTCCAGAGAAGCCGGAGAAGTCAGACAAGGACAGCTCGAGCGCCTACAACACGGCAGAGAGCTCTCGCAGCACACCGCTGGCCATGGACCGCTCCCCTGAGCACTCCCTTCAGAGGAGGATGGTGACCATCACCAACCAGAGGAACCTCCGTAGCAGCCTGGCCAGCCTCCAAACCACAGCCAGCCACAGCCCCACACACCGGCCCCTCCACTGGGCCCCCATCCCAGGCAAGGCCAGCAGCCCCAACCACAGCCCCTACCCCTCCGAGTCGGACCAGGTGGCCCCTGCAGACAACGAGAGGAGTATGTTGGGGAACTGGAAGGTGAAGCCTAAGCCTCCTCCCAGGGCCTCCCAGATCCCTTACCTACCCCCGTCCCATGACTCCCAGCACCGCCAGCCCAGCGCCAACATCCCGGCCCACGCTCTCCACTACCAGAGCTACATGCAGCTGATCCAGCAGAGCTCGGCCGTGGAGTACGCCCAGAGCCAGCTGAGCCTGCTCAGTGGGGTAAAGGAGCCCCAGCTGAGCCCCGCCAACGAGGCTAAGATGGAATGGAAGGTGAAGATCCGTTCGGACGGCACACGCTACATCACCAAGAGACCCATCAGGGACAAGATCCTGCGGGAACGCGCCCTGAAGATCAAAGAGGAGCGCAGCGGAGGTATGACCACGGACGACGACGCTATGTCCGAGATGAAGATGGGGCGGTACTGGAGTAAAGAGGAGAGGAAACAGCATCTGGTCAGGGCTAAAGAACATCGGAGGAGACGGGAGTTCATGCAGCGCAGCAGGCTGGAGAGCCTGAGGGAAAGTCCTCAGAGCAGCAGCGAAGGACGCAAGGAGGTCAGCATCATCGAACTGAGCCACAAGAAGATGATGAAGAAGCGCAACAAGAAGATCCTGGACAACTGGATGACCATTCAGGAACTGATGACTCACGGGGCCAAGGCCCCTGATGACCCCAGGGCCAAAGTACATAAGGCCTTCCTGTCGGTCACCACTGTATAATATACAACTAACACATAACAATCTATAGCAGTGTTTCTCAACCGTATTAATACCAGGAACCAGCAAGCTATGGCCCTACCCCGGTGAGCAACATCCCAGGGACCGGTGCTGGTCTCCGGACCGGAAGTTGAGAAACACTGATCTACAGTACCCCATGTGGTATTATATACTTGCCTCGTTCAATGTGGCGTTTTTATGAGGGCGATATGGAATATTTTTCACAACTTTGTTACCCGAAAAATAGCATTTTGTAAAGAATTTTAACCAATGGTTTCCATGGCATAAAAAAACTAACAGTTTTTCATTATTTCACTCTGTTTCAGAAGCACTTTTGTATAAGATTACTGAGCAATTATTTTTCTTAGTTCATCCTGTAAATGTAATTACCTGCAAAATGTTCAATTATTTTCATGTTTCTGTTCTGTTATGCAGTGATTCCAACCCACACAGGTCAGAATACTTGTATGTACTCCCTCAGGGGGAGAGGCATTCAATTGAATGTACAGTACAGAAATCCTACAAGTCCTTGCAAGTCTAGATTTGATAAACCAGCCATTTTATTTGTCCTTAAAGGGACACTTTGGGGTTTTGTTATGAAGGAAGTTAGAGGTAAGTTTCGCAAGCCAATGCTAACTAGCATTAGCGCAATGACTGGAAGTCTATTGGTATGCAATGACTGAAAGTCTATGGGTAGCAGATACCCATAGACTTCCAGTCATTGCACTAACGCTAGTTAGCAATTGCGCTAGCGCTAGTTAGCAACTTCCTTCAAACTGCAAGCAGAGACATAAAAATGGTATCCACGAGTTCATCTGATTCTGGGGAAGTAGATAAAGGGCCTCTGCCAAAATCCCGAGGTATCCCTTTAAAGGTCATGAACAATCAAAATCATGTTTTTCATGAAATTGGATGATATTTGGATGAAACCAGCTCAAAGTATGATGACCAAAGTATGAAAAGTGACTGTTGCTTCTACATTGATAAAGTTTGATCATAAAGTTACTGGTCCCCTCCACCATGTCAAACACTTAGATACAGGAGGCGGGATTATTAAGGGGATAGGGGGACATCACTCTATCTCATTTTAATACACCAATGGTAACATGATATTCTCTTTCCTAATTTAAATAAGTACCGCCTTGTAACCAACATCGGAGAAGGCGTGTTTGCAGAGGGGCATGGTTTATATAGCTAGATAGCTACTCTACTGGTGACAAAATTTGACTGTAGGGTGTCAACAAATATAATTAAAAGTTGACCCTATTCATATCTACAGTATAATGGCAAAGATACTTATATGTTTCCTCTTTCATCTGTGTCTGGTGTTAGCGACTTACTGGCTAGCTAGGTTTTCAGCCAGCATGGAACAAAAAGGGGGGGGGGGGGGGGGGGAGTCGTTCAAAACTCAGACGCAGTTGTCAAGTCATCATATCCGTCAGTACTGCTGTGAACCGCATCACAAGAGACATGCCAAACAGGAGATGTATAAACCATTTTTGACATCATTGATGCAATTTCAATGTTGTTTGAGTTGCTTTGTGTATCACCAAATTTGCTAGAGATGATTTTACTGCAACACACTTCACTGCATCCAAGTTGCTTGACATAGGCGTTTCAAAGAGATGTCAGTCAAGGCGAGCTCATGAATATAAGCTCCCCGCCTTCTCAGCCTGTCTTTTCAAACTTTCTGGTAGTTAGCCATGAGAGAAAAAGTTTATAAAATGTTTAGCATTTCTATCCAAAACAGATATTATGGGTGATATTTTAGTCATTCAAAAGGCTATTTTAGATGGGAATCAGAATGACTGTTCGGGACCTTTAAGATGAGAACACTTATTTGCAAATCTAAATGTCTAATGTTTAAGTTTTAACGTTCAGGACTTTCTACAAAAGTTACAGATACATACAGGACTTTCTGCTGATTACACACACGCATACAACTAAAAGTACAACCATTGATTTACCAAATATTGACACATTTCTTCAAAACAAAGATAGTAAAGAGATTGAATGCTTACATCTTCTGCCTGCATAAAAGGGACCAATGTTGAGATGCTTTTTTTAGCCAAGCCAAGAATGTATCACCAATCCAAAACAGTGGACCATGTGCATTTCCCTTTACAACCGTTTGAATTGCAAAGGGTTATTTTATTTCAAGAGGCTATGAAGACAAGCTGTGATATGTTACCGCGCTTTGGTATTATATTACATTGCTGCAATGCATCAGGAGTTATTCCAATGTAGTACCGGTACACCCTCTCTTCATAAGATCTAGCATATTTATGTTCAAATTATCCTTTATTTCACAATGTTAAAGTTTCTCAACATTAGCCTTAACAGTTTCCAATTAAATTCATGTAACTGTTTATTTTTTTGTGGTAAGAAATTAGTTACGAACTGACTATTGTTCTCTGGTGCTGCTCAAAGTTGAGCTCAAGCTTAATGTTGAAATAAGTTAAGAATAGTATGTTTTAACATTTTGTAGCACACACACACACACTCTGTACCCTTGTACTTACTAGTTATGGATTGGATGACTGCCAGTGTGCACGACTCATAACTTGGCAGTACATTTCCCAATTGTGAAATCAGGTTTCCATATACAATAACTAAACACATTCCAGTCTGGTTCAGTGTACAGCATAATACGTACTTGTTGCAAACGCCTCATTTTCAGTTAAAATATTGTAAATTTGAACTTTGTAACCAACTCCTGTATTTGTTTCACGTCAATGTCAATGGTCTTATTTCAAGTAATATGTGGTTGGCACAGTTGTAGCCAGGTAAATGTGTGGTATAATTGTGATCATCGCAAAATGAAATGGGAATAAATTATTGTTTTGTTTTTCTTCAGGAAACCTCTGCAGCACTGTGTTGACTCTGTCCTTCAGTCTAGTTTTCTATTCACAAGAGATCACATGGCTTGGAACCCAATTATGTGTGAAATGACTATTAAAGGGCTGCCCCTTGAAGTTTGCGGGCAAATTTTCTGCAAACTAAATAGTGTGACACAAAATGTTGCCAAAAGTTTGCAAACGTTTGCCACTGGTGGTGAATCTGCAGCAAACATTTGGCACAATAATATGAATTGCCACTAGTGGCAAACCGTTCACCAGAGGGTTTTTTGATGACCAATCAGGGGGATTAGAAACATCTGTTGGAAAATGGAAACCAAGCTATCTAGCTAGTTAGCTACCAAAGTTGTCCGGTGAGTGTCTAATCTATTAATTAAACTTCCTAATAAACTTTAACATTTTATTAGCTAAATTATGCCTAGTTAGCAATGTCATCTTTTATGGGATAGAGTGAAACACATTTTGTTGATACCAGTTTCAATCTGTCAGTGCCACTGACTGACTGGCTAGCGCTTAACTAGATAACGTTAGCTATCATATTTTTGCACAATTCATGTGATCGGTAGCTAGCTAGATAACTAATGAATTGCCTTTAAATAGCAATTTGCATGTCAATATGCTAGTGTCACGGGTTCAGTAGCATGTTAGCTAGCACAAACAGCTACGAGTTGATTTGACATCAAAGCAAAACTTCCCTTTTTGCATATGGATACCCTTCTCCTACCCGTGGTGTTGGGGGAGGCTGTATTGGGAGGAGGATGCATCAACACCGGGTTGGTGGAGCCCTCAGTTTCATCTTTGCCTCGCAAAGCTAACTCAAACACTCCGCAAAACTTCACACACTGGATTAGCCGGCTGAGGATGTGGCGGTTCTTGCTAATGTCGTAGTAAATATATTTGTTATAGTGAATATGGAATATGATATGTTGAGTAAAATGTTGTGCTAAGATCTATTTAGGTCAGGAGCTGGTTATAAGTTCTGTTCCTATCCAATAACAATGGACAAAAGGGTCCTATCTTGTCAGCCTTGTCAGTTTCAGTTCTCCAGTAAACTTGTGATTATCAACACTAACCTCATCGTTGTGGCGGCGGACAGCTAGCCTGTATCCCTCATCCAGTTGAGTGGGAATGTTCACTCTCCCCAAAGCAGACAATCTCAAACAGCTATCCATGTGGGTCTTTGACAGCTCATGTTTCTTAATCTTTCCTGAAAGATGGTGCATGTCCGTTACACACCAGTCGCTGTCCAAGCGGTGCTGTCTGCCGTGCCGCCTTCAGGGTGAAAGAGTAAGCAGGGGGTAGCAGAAGACTGCATTAGCTACATCGCAGCCTGCTAGCCAGGTTTTTCGTTCGTACCAATTTTTGGAAAATCCTCGGGTGTAGGACTTCCCCCCTTTAGTAGAAACCTGTTGAATTATTAAATTTGGTCTGGGAGGTCCTAATTGTTTCGTTGCCAATTTATCTTCATTTGTTCGCCGACAAAAAGGAACTTCTTTCAAAGACACAATCGAGTTGCACTGAAGCCTAGCCATTTTGATAAAAGTAGTGAATTGATTGACGCTGCTACCCGCTCTTTTCTTAGTTACGTTCATGGTTATATGTTACGTATGACGAAAGCGCGTAAGTGCAAGCCCTCAGAAACCCATAGAGATTGTATTGAAAGATCTGATATTTGAAAAAAATAGATTTTACATGGGAGTCTATGACAGACTTCTGGGCGATTTTCAACCTGACTGAAATCGCCCCAAAAGGGGGGGGGGGGGGGGGGGGGCATTTGAATTTATGTTTTAGTGGGTGCGATCACTCAGACACACCACTGTGTTTTGGATGATAATAATGAGTGTGGAATTGTCACTCACTCAAGATAAATGATGTATGTCTTCAGATTGTAAGGTAAGTAATGCATGTATTATTCTCATAAATGTAGCCCATACATTCATTCTTTAAAACAATTAGATATTTCATTGATTTAAACTAGTAGCTAGCTCATCTTATTTTTCTATTTTTTTACCTTTTTTACCAGGTAAGGCCAGTTAGAACAGTTCATTTACAATTGCTTCCTGGCCAAGATAAAGCAAAGCAGTGTGATAAAAACAACAACACAGAGTTACACATGGGATAAAACAAAACATACAGTCAATAACA